TTTGTTTGAAAAAAGAAAGAACCAGCGACAATCATTATGTAATGACTTTCGGAGATAATGTGCCAAAATTTGTAATCCGGTGTCTGTGTGTAGGTGTACTGCAAAATGATCAATCTGAAGGCGCTGAAAATAACCCTTTGAGGTTGAATGACTGCTTGCTTCTTTAATCACTTTTTGGGTTAACATAAGTTCAAGTATGAGGTCATTGTGGAGTCTTGTACACTTTAACTGTGATGAAAATTTTCCTTAAAACATCTTAAGTTAAGCTTTTTTGTAGTGTTCCCAGCCTTAATTTCTTCAATTGGTGTCTGCCTCAACATCGAATAGTAGTAATGACTGACTCCGTCTGCTACTGTTTTGGCAATTTAGTACTGTGAGATGACCTTTTCTGTGATTTAAATAAACTGAACTGAATTAAGGTAATGCGACCTCAACTTTATGTTTCTGAATCAAAAGGAGAATGGCGATGTAGACATGGAAAAAGAAAACGACAAATGGATGAGTGGCAAACAAGAAGGGAAAGAAGAAAAGAAAGTCAAAGGTAAGACTTCTCTAGATGAAGTCTAAGAGAATACCAGCATTTCCCTGAAGGAAACAAAAATGCCACTTCTATGAACATATAGCTTTCAGCATAATGATGAGGCAAAAGAGTTGAGTCAAAGTGACAGAAAAGGAATGAGCCAAAGTGAAATGCAAGGAACACGACTACCCTGTAGTGTTATCTGGAGAACATTAAGCAGAGGTTGCCTTTTGAGAATGAGTGTTTCATATCCTCAAAGGTTTTCTTTCTGTCTTAACAAGAGAAGAGTGGTCTACAATTTAACTGCAGCACAGAAAAGATTGCAGAGCGTTTAAAAAAGGATGGACTGAAGTAATAAGCAATAAAAACATCCACCATAAACAAGTATTTTGTTCTTTGTTTCAAACTGAACAAAGTCAAAAGTAGCTGTAAAAGTTGCAAAAGCATTACTGGAGAGGTAAAGCTGTATGCAGATTCATTGGCTGCACTTCTTGTACTTTCTCTCTATTAAGCAAGACCCTAATACAACACTGGGGGAAATATTTGTCCAAGTCTCAGTCCAAGGACAGACTAAGCACAGCAGTGATGAAGAACGTACACGGCACTATAGACGAGAAGAACATGAGGAATGTAAAAGTAAATTTGGTCCTGTGCTTGTCCACACGAAACAACTCGCAAGTGCAGATGAGTTAAAGCTTTCTGTGGGAAATGTAAATGACGTCAAATCTGTTGCAGTTCTACAGAAAATCTCAAGTGAAAGGAATCTCTCAGAGATGTTTTTTCACGAAGTGCTTCGAAATTCAGCAAAAACAAGACAAGGAACAACCAAGAACAAAAATGAAACTCGGCAACATCCAATACATTGCAATTTCTCCATTTGCAATGCACACATATTCAGAATCTTAGGTGATTATTATTCAGGATCTACAGAAAAAAAGACAGTTGCTACTCTCAGTGTAGTTGCCAAGCCACAGCCGACAGTCGAGTCCCTGTTTGTCAAACGCTCTTATCACATCAGACAACAGCAACATGCTGGTTGACGTGCTTGAGTCGAGACTACTTCGGTGTTTTTCATAAAACCAAAAGACTGAAACAGATTTCAGTTGGGCTATGTCCCATTGCTGCAGTTCAGGTCTTCAACAAGTGTTCAAGAATATCTGAAGATTTGCTTCGAAGTTTGCCAAAAGAACGAGTCAACACAACTGACAGTGATAAATGTGTGCTGCTCACATGCTGATGTTTGTCAGCATGAACATTTTAAAAGTGCAATGCACCTAGGTCACCACGCAACTTTTTTTTGTATTGCTTTGCTCTTCTGCAAAATTCATCCAGAAAACAGACAAAGGGTTGTCAAGAGAATTTGTCTCTCCTCAAAGAAGCCACAAGGACACAAAACACAGTCTGAAAATGAAGAATGAAGATGAGGACCATAAGCTAGTCGCTCCTGCAGATTTGCCAAAATCTCTAACTAAATCCTTGCCTTTCTTTTCTCCTCTAAGTGATTGTAAACCAAGCAAAGGAGGAAGCGGATAACGAGGACCACAAAGAGGAAGACCAACAGTCAAATCTGTATTACTGTGAATCTGTGATGGATGTCTTTCTACATTTGGCTGGAAATGTTCCTCTTTGGTCAGGCATCATGATGAAAAGTTTTGGGAAAACTCAAGACAGCAATGCAGTGGTGGAGAGCTGGTTTCGCACAACAAAATCTGTCATTCTGATGTCAAAACTGCATCAAAGAGCAAGAGCAGAGCAACAAATTGATCAGAGGAAGATCCTTTTTTTTCAGCCTTTAATTCAATCAAAATTTTCTCGATTCTGAATTAACCAGAATTGTGGTTTAATTTTGGGCTTTTTTTTTTTTAAATTGTTTTCTGTCACGTTATCCACTGTCACCACAAGGTTGAGACGACTTATCGATTCTAAACACAAATTGTGTCTCTGTGCATGTTAAACACGACTGATCTTAATGGATGGGTGACCTGTCCAGTATGGACTCTGCTTTTCACCTGTTGGACAGTGACACAAGCTTCCCTTTAATCCTGCTAAGAAACAAGCACAAAAACAAAATTGACAAGTATGACATGTTGCATGATGTCTCGGGTCAAACGATTTTGATTTTAAAACAATTTTCTGTGCTGTTTAATCAAACAGGTTTAAGCCAGCTGCTGCAATATACCACACTGCAGCAAAAGACAAATTCCACAAACTTGGAACTGACAGGCATGACTATGACGGCCTGGCAGAAATGAAAAAAGCTGGAAGTGGAGATGTAGGGATGACAGACGAACATTAAAAATATATATTAAAATCTAAAGTAAGTATTGGACACACTTGGCAGTTAATAAAAAGACAATCAACTCAGTTTTGTTTGTGTTTTAAAAGTAACATAAATGACATACATTTTTAAATGCAGTGTATGACGAAGCAGCTGGAACAGTCGCAAAAGACAGGGAAGCAATGATGAGCTGGTGACCTAAATCAGTTGAATCTTATTACTAACAGGCCAAAGCAACCAAGCGCTGCGAAGGCCAATTGTAATCATACTGTTCTTATTGTTATGATTCTTCCACCCAAATGAATCGCCATGACTTGGCGTACATGTCAAGCCTGAGCCTGAAAATTGCATATTTAAGGTCGCACCGCCCCCTTCCCCCACCTAGCTCAACAGCGCCACCCGGTAACTTTAAAAACACTGCGCATTGACCTTACTTTATCATAGAGGCATGGAATTTGGCACACTTGTACAAAACTGCTGAAATCACCCTTTAATAAAGTTTCTCAAATCAAATAAAGGTTTCACAAATCACACATTTAAATATTCTGCAATTAGTCGAGAATAATCTGGTCTAGGTTTGAAGAGTCTCTGTGTCAAGCTACCCGCAGGGGTGTCAAACTCGTCCTCAAGGGCCGCTGTCCTGAAGTTTTTAGATGTGCCACAGGTACAAAACACTGGAATGAAATGGCTTAATTACCTCCTCCTGGTGTAGATCAGTTCTCCAGAGCCTTGCTAATGACCTAATTATTCTATTCAGGTGTGGTGCTGCAGAGGCACATCTAAAAGTTGCAGGACACCGGCCCTCGAGGACTGGAGTTTGACACCTGTGAGCTACAGGATGCAGTGGCAAAACGTTTGTGAAATGCATCACATGTAACTGTCATGATCCGTAGTTTTCTGTGTTTATTTTTGTGTTGTTTCTGTGTTTGTTGTTATCCTGTTCCCTGTGAGTCTCTGTCTCTGCGTCTTCCCCGTTGATTGTTTCCCAGGTGTGTCTCTTGATTACCCCTGTGTGTATTTAAACCCACCTGTTGTCTGTGTTCTTTGTCGGATCCTTGTCATGTGTTGCCTGTTTCCCTGTGCTGTCAGATGTTCCTCGTGCTGTTCTCTGTTTTCCGGATAGTTTAATTAAATTCATCATTTTCACCACTTTACCTGGGTCTGCCTGCGTCCTCATCCTCACCTCAACCCACCGTTTATGACAGTAACATGTTTTTGTGTGTGCCCAAAATGAAAGACAGCCTTCTGCTGTACTGCAAATGAGCTGCTTTACTGCTGTGTAATATAACTAAAGACCCCATCTCTAATCCACTGCCATCTACCGAGAATGCATTTTAACCAAAAATCTCAAAAATGAAATGTTTTTAACAGTGTTTTGATGTTTCAATGTGCTTAAGAGATGTAATTAGTTATGTAAACATTTCTTATTGACAATTTTTACATGTTCTGAATGTTTAAAGTGTTTGGAAAATAAGAAGAAATGAAATTTATCAATTTCAAATAATCAGGTAAAAAGTTTTGTCAAGCAAGACACAATGTCCATTGTAAAACACATTTGTTGAAACAGCATTTATGAATGGAAAATTGTTGCAATGTTTCTTTGATACTTAAACTATACAAAACAAATTACACCTCTAGTAATCTTGGAACATCTCCTGAAATGACAAATATGAGGCATGTGGGACAAAGTGAAATGTATTTAGTTGCGAAGGAGACAGCCTCTTACAAAAGAATAATCACAGCAGCGACATATTAAGATTGGGACAAAAAAAAGCATTTTGTTTTGCACGTGGGCATCTCACTAAGTAACAGAACATCACCTCCATTTCTATGTAAACTAGTTGCACTTTTAATGATACAGATGAAATAGTTGCTTCCATAACTATTGGCTTGGCTAGGCCAAGTTTTACTTAAACATAGCCTGAAGGCTGTGCTTAAAAATTAGGTCATTAACAAAAAACAAAAAAAAAGAATATTACTGCTCACGTTCTTACATTAACTAATATTCTTTCTAAAGAACATTACTTCATGTAATGTTCAACTACCACCACAATATTTAAGATGCTTAAGCTTGCAGAGTAAGAATATAATGTGCTCACATCATTTGAATATATTTCACACAGTTACAATAGAGTTTTATAGAAGCAAATATTTTACTTTAAAATGATAAAAAATGTATTCATTTTAACCTACATATAACCTCTATATGTATTTAATTTCCTTTCGGAAGACGCTTCCATTGGGCTGTTTTGTCCACTTCAGTGTAAATCCACTCACTCCGGTTTCTTGCAGTCTGTTCTTGAGCTTTAAGACAAAATTACAAGCCATTTAAAAAGTACAGTTTTTCTACATTTTGAGATCAGATTGAATTTTCCTCTAATTAGTTTGTAAAAAAAAAAAAAGCAGATCTTTACATTTACATCTGAGGTGTAATTATTTGTGTGCTACAAAGTGTTTTTATTCCAAACTTGCCTTTGTCAGGATGTTTTCTCTCACAACAGGGTCATTCAGATCCACTGAGTTGTCTGTGCGAAGTCTTATCTTCACAACCTGTTTCATTACTGATTTAAAATAAGAAATACAGCAATAGGTTGAGTATCCATTTTAAAAACATGTTCTTATATGACCAAATAAATGAGTATGAAATGCATTGATATGCAAGTTTCACATTAGTAAATGGGCTGAACTTGTATGTCACATTTCCAGTTATTTTCACCACCCAAAGCGTTTTCTACTCCAATCTGTAGGCAACTTGAGGTTAGGGGAACATTGGCATGGGCCAATCCCCCTTCTGACCAACACCAGCATGGAGGCTGACCGGGAATTGAATTCATCGATTTCAGGGCGAACTCCTACCGCTGTTGTCATGTTGCCACCATGTCTGTCGAAGGCATGCTTTTGTGTTTGGAGCTCAGAGTTCCACCTAATGTGAGTCGTCTTGACTTGTTATAATCATGTTCTGTGGAAGTCAGATTGTGCCACTGAGAATTTGCATGCCAAAGGTCCTGCCCTTGACTGCCAACTACCTATCTTACGTGGCACCTGATCTCAAAATTTATGTCTGCACATGGAGTACAACTCCTGTAGCTTCATTGGGCGGAGCCCAGTTTTGCCCCAAGATTGAAAGCTCAACCACCAGGTTCCTACTGGTGAGTTCACCTCAAGACCTGACTGTAGGAGGGAGCCGTGGTCTTCCTTCCTGCTGTCAGACAAATCAACTGAAGTGGTCTTGTGACTGAAGTGGTCTTAGTCTGACTCCAAAGCTGGTTTGCCTTGGGAGAGACAACCAGGAACTAAAACTACAGATAACATAGAACTGTGGGTAATGGGGCTACACAGACCCCACAGAAAACTAAAGAGATGATTTGATGAAGGGTGACGGATTTGAGCTTCATCTGCTCTTATACAGTATGTAGTGGTAAAGAAAAAGCTAAGCCAAAAAACAAAGCTCTCTATTTACAGATCTGTCTATGTTGAGAGGTATCACTCATAACCAAAAAAATTGAGATCCTGGATACAAGAGGCAGAAATTAGCTTTCTTTATTGAGGAGCTGGCACTCAACCCCACAGTAAGGGTGAAAAACGCCTTCTATGAACTGAAAAGTCTTAGTTAAGATGATCGGGGCACTGATCAGTATGCCTCCTTGTGACCTGCAGACTTTCCAGGTGTGTCCCACCGCGAGGAGGAAACCATAGCGAAATTAAATCTCACTTAATATGTTGCAAACCCCTACATCGAGGACTAAAAGAGAAAACATGGTATTTTAACTTAGTTGTGCATTGTTGTTGTATGTGTCAATTCAGATATAAGAAACAAATGATAAAGCCATGCATTTCTTTATTACTGCATTGTAAATACATTATGGTTTTATCCTTGTTAATCCTGGTAAGATCAAGATATTGAAATTGACTCCAGATGGAAAAACAACTCTGCTTTTCTCACGAAAAGCTGACCTGCATAATTTAGGGGAGTGACTTAAAAGAAAAACTGATTAAAGATAATGAATATTCAAAGCATATAAATGTCATTTTTTAAACTAACATTTAGTAAGTATCAGACAGCCACTCAGCATATAGAGATAACATATCCTAATCATCCCCAATTCTCCCTAAAATACACCTTTCAATAAAAAAAGAAAGAAAAACACTCACCAGGAGGGCCATAACAGACGAAAGGTAATTTTGTCTGACAGGGCAAAAACTTCCAATTTCCTGATCTTGCAGAAGATGTAACACCACATATGACTCTCATCGAGCCAAGCGGATTCATAACAGAATCCCAGCTGGTAAAGACGACACCGCTCCCATCAGACCAGTGAAAATTGGGATCTCTAAAGAGACCAATCCATGGATGGTAAGGACTAGGCACCTGGCTCTGTACATTCTGGTTGTCTGTGTCACTTTTTATGGTGGCGAGGTCTATGAAGTTGTTTCTGCAGTACATCTGAGCACTGGACCAGTTCATTGGTAGATTCACAAACACAAATTGAGGTTCCGCCTGCAAGCCTGTATTTGAAGGGAATAGAGGACAAAGATGAGTAGAAGTTCTACATTTCACAAAGACGTTTTAAGAATGATGTCACATTTAATATCGTTAACCTTTGTAGCACACAAATGGGCGATTCTGTGAGCAACTAACATCATACCACTCCGCATAGTCTGGGAACATCACGCAGAATTCAACGGCGTAATGGAAACTAGGTTCATATACTGATGTTCTCCAGTGTCTGTAGTCGGCTCCGCTCCCCGTGAAGCCATCGGACCATTTCCAGTCGATTTCATTGAACAGACCAAACCAGACATCAGAGCTGTGACCAGCAGATGAAAGAGTGCTCATGAATCGGTTCTTTTCTTCTGAGCTTAGAATGGTTGCCAGGTCTGTGTGGGTCTGTCTGCAGTAGGTCTGAGCTTCGGTCCAATTCAGAGATTGATTAACAAAATGGTAGACAGGCTGAAGACGGAGGCAGGTGGAGAGCATGACCAGGTCTGGAACATAAGTTAGATTTAATTTTTCTTTCAACCGTCAGTGTTGCTTTATTAAATAGCATTTAATACCAGATTGAAAACATATCGTCACTGACACTCACCTGAAAGAACCAAGACTCCCAACAAGATCCTCTCCATCGTGACGCAGATCTGAGGACTGCAGTAGAAGGTGCTGAGAGTCTCTGAAAAGTGTTCTGTCTTTTTGCTTGATACAAGGGAATTTGTCTCCCTTAGCAACGTTGTTGTCATGATTGACAATAGGTAAATGATGTATACAACAGCACTGAGTAGATTTGCAAGGTTTGTAGGCTACCCAAGCAAATTGTTCTCCTTAAAAACAAACACTATCATGAATGACAAATCAAGCTGTTAATGTGACACAGAGTGCCGTCTTTTATAGTTTCTTATATACGTCTAATTACATTATGTAACTGCTGGCATTTGGATTTTATAAATCAAATTTTATCAGATACACTATCCCTACTCAAAAGTTTGGGGTCACCCAAAAATTGTCCTTTGGTTGTTTAGCTGTCAATTTGTTGAGATAATCTGAGGAACTGTCACCTCAAACTGCTCCCACTACAGCAGGGGTCATGTCAGAGTTGACACAGCAAACACAGCAAAATAACACAGGAAAGACAAGAGAAAGTTAGATTCTGAATACTCGCGAGGAGAACAGACAGAGATGTGCTTTCAGTTACAAATCTCCTACCGCTCTGAAAGCACATTTGCCTGCCCCTGTCTTTTTATTGTGTTTAGGATCCCTAATCACAGAGAGCGCTGTAACTCTAAAGGGAGGGGGAAAGACTCTTCATCACCCAGTCACAGCGCCAAGATTATCGCTAACTAACAACACAATCTATCTAACACTAGCTAATCCAGTTCCTGACCCGGGATCAAACAGGACAAGTTGTGAATCTTCATGGCGATGGTTTTATAGCTATCTAAGAGGTCAAAACAGGCCGTTCTGTGAAGAGCTGCTGTCACTGCTCTTCTTCAGAGAGGCCCTCAGAGAAAGGAAAGCAGAGTGATCAACAATACAGAAACATTTCACATTTCTTAAAACATATGACTAAACTAAATAAGTAAGAATACATAAACTAAGAACATAATGAAGATATAACAAATAGTAGATAATAATACAATTTACCCAACAGGTCACCAACTCCAGTCCTCAAGGGCTACAATCCTGCAACTTTTAGATTCACCTCTGCTCCAAAATGTCTGAATTCCCTCACCAGCATTCGTTCCTCTCTGCAATAGGCTGGAAACGAGAAGTTTATTTGATCCAGGTGTGTTTGAGCAGAGACGCATCTAAGAGTTACAGGATGGTAGCCCTGGAGGACTGGAGTTGGTGACCCCTGCACTACAGTTTACTAGGGTTGAGATCTGGTGATTGTGCCGGCCTGTCCATTATAGACAGAATACCGTCTCACTGCTTCTTCCCTAAATAGTTATCGCATGGTTTGAAGCCAAGCTTTCTGTCATTGCTTTGTCAGACAAAATTGGCTCCAATAAAGCGTTGTCCGTGGGGTGATTGTCAATATGCCTTTTACCCGATCTTCTACAACAGCACAAAAGCATCCCCAGCCTATAAGGCCAGCATTTTGAAGTCGCATATTAACTTTGAGGCTGATGTTTTGTGGGTTTAATGAATATACTAGTTGATGACCTGTGAGATGATCTAAAACTACAGACTCTGAGGTGCTTATCGTCTTGGCCTGTTGTTTAACGGATGCCTCCAATTTCTCCTCCTGTTCTGGTTAGAGCCAGTTTGTGCTGTTCTTTGAAGGGAGTGGCACACATCGTTCTATGAGATCTTTAGTGCCTTGACAGTTTTCCTCATGGAATAGCCTTCATTTATCAGATCAAGATTAGACTGAGAAGTTTCAGTAGAAAGTTCTTATTTTTCTGGCCATTTTTAATTGAATTGAACACAGAAATGCTGGTGCTTCAGATATTCAGCTAGCCAAACAAAGACCGCTTTTATTGCTTCTGTTAGTTAGTGCAGCAGTTTTCGGCTGTGCCAACATGACTGCACAAATGATCAATTAGCACTTTAACATGATAAACCTGGATTGGCTAACAAAATTTGCAACTGGAGTGATGCTGAAAATGGGCCTCTGTACATCTTCTTTAGATTTTCCAATAAAAAGCTGCCACTTCCTGTTTTAACTTCAAATTTTTGAAGCATGAAATGAAGTATCAGACTAAAAACTGCTTTAGTATCTTTGTTATATACTTCTGCTTGTTGGGTATTTCTTTCTATCGTATTAATTCATCAGTACGTAGCTCAACTGGGATTATCAAATCTAAAAATATTGAGTGCTAGCCTCCAGAGATTTTTTTTTAATCTTCCTGTTTTAAATTAAGTGTAATTGTTTGTGTTCATCCTAAAATCTTAATCCTGAAAAATATCCGGGAATCTCCTGCTACGTTTACCTATTTAAGATAATTAATTGTGAAAAAGTTTATCCGTCAAACTGACTTATCAGTGATTGTGCTTGTTATATTTTAATTTCCTCTCATTCTTAAAGACTTCTCAATGGAGGCTCTTTTCTCCAATTCACTGTATTCCGAAGCTGGGAGACACAGCTTGTCCAAACCTTTTTAAAACTGACATCATTTGTTGAAATCAACAATCTGTACTAAACATAACAGACGAGTAACTGATTGGAGTTACTCATTTACAAGACATGATCCTCTCTGTTAGCACTGCTATATGGAATGGAACAGGAAGAGATTATCTTTATAATGAAAGGAGCTGTAGCCTAAAAAAAACAACAAAACTTTAGCTTTGTTTTATACAAAGCCTATAGCACACAGTAGGCAAATTTAAACAAGGGAGTTGTCAACCTGGTAGGCCTGTGTGTGTTCCCTAAGCAAATGACTCTTAAAAGAAAACACCACACAATATTTTGAAGACAGATAGTGAATAAAACACTCATTTATGATGAAGGCAGATTATATTTTTCCTGTTTGACATTTTTTCTTTTTTCACTTTGTTATTGGTCCATCTAATCTTCACTCTTATAATTTTATTCATTGGCAGTTTCTGTTTCTCTTCATGTTTTGATTGTTTCTGTTTGCTTATGTTTCAGCTCAACCTCATGTGAATTCCTTTTAGGCAACTAATACCAGACTTTTTTTTAAAATAAGTATGTAACTTTTACAAAAGATTGAAGCTTTAAAGGTGTGTTGTGCTACTTTGTTGCTCTATGTCTGAAGTTAACTCAGTCATTGGGAATCTATATTGGCGAATCACAGGCTAACATTAAATATTACTTCTTGGCACCTCACCGATCTATGGCAATTTTCACTGTTATCTCTGCAGCAGCATATACATAATATAAGAGTAGACGCCTCATGGACCGCTCTCGCCTACTGTCGCTGACAAGATTTAGGGCGGCCATCTTGGAGCGGTCCACCTCTCCATTCAATGTTATGTTTTTAGCAGATACATATATATATATATATATATATATATATATATATATATATATATATATATATATATATATATATATATGTTTTTCAGCCGAGGATTTCTAGCTTCAGAGTGATTCAGCAGCTGAGATTGAGTCTAAAATCCGATGAGATTCATCCGCGCTGCAGTGAGTCCGTCTCTCTTTATAGATATCTCCCTCTTCTTCCTCACATCGTGTCTTTAGGAAACCTTCAAAACAAGATCGGAAGATTTTGGATGTATCTTACATTTGACAGAGTGAAAGAATATAAATAATAATTTACCACCTGTGTAAACTTTGCCGGTGAATGTTATAACACATAATATAAGTTTTATAATATATGTTACATTGTTTCATTTCTAATATAGGCTCTTGTGTCAGATAATCTGTCAATGTTAGAGAATAATAATTTATTTTTTTAGATTTACAGAATCTCAGTTAGCCTTCATAGCGGGGCTGAACCCGTATTACACCAAGCACTGTAGCTAATATTAGCTGGTATCTCGCCGGTGGACATAAATATAGTAAAGAAATATTCTAATTACAAAATATACACAAT